GTGGGCGATCGGGGAACGGCTGGCGGGGTGGGGGTACGGGGAACGGGGAGGGCGACCTCTGGTAGCTGCGTCGCCCTGCGGCAGAACCCCCCTCGTGCTCCGCCGTCGCCTCCACTGGTCTCGCTGGTCGGCGGGTGCCTCCTGGTAATGATGGCCATGGGGCGGGATGACGACGACGACGACGAGGAGGGGGAGGATGAGGAGGAGGAGGAGGAGGAGGAGGAGGAGGAGGAGGAGGAGGAGGAGGAGGAGGAGGAGGAGGAGGAGGAGGAGGAGGAGGAGGAGGAGGAGGAGGAGGAGGAGGAGGAGGAGGAAGGAGGAGGAGGAGGAGGAGGAGGAGGAGGAGGAGGAGGAGGAGGAGGAGGAGGAGGAGGAGGAGGAGGAGGAGGAGGAGGAGGCGGAGGCGGAGGCGGAGGAGGAGGAGGCGGAGGCGGAGGCGGAGGCGGAGGCGGAGGAGGAGGCGGAGGCGGAGGCGGAGGCGGAGGCGGAGGCGGAGGCGGAGGCGGAGGCGGAGGAGGGAGGAGGAGGAGGAGGAGGAGGAGGAGGAGGAGGAGGAGGAGGAGGAGGAGGAGGAGGAGCCCTGAGAGCTGACTCCTTGGAAGCGTTGCAAAATCTGATGACACCACGTCCGGAGCCCAAGACCCATCTCTCTGCGCCACTCTTCGAGCCTGACTGATCTGTGAGGGCCCTGGGGCCCGAGACTTGGCGAGAACGCTTGGCTCGAACAACTGGGACGCCAGGATCTCAGGGAGGCGGACGGGGGACGAGGAGGAGGAGGGGGCGGAGGGGGCCGGAGGGCCCAGACCCCCGACGTCGTGTTTTTTTCCTGACGTCGACCCCGTGAGGTCTCGACCCATCCCCCGGGACCGGTTTCTTGTGCCGAGCCGTTTCTTGACGGCTCCGAGGCCCAGGGAGGGCCCCCTCTTGGAGGCTGAACACCGAGCGAAACCTCCCGCCGTGCTTCTTTCCACGACGAAGGGGGGCCCGAGGAGGAGGAGGAGGCCCCCGCCCAGGGCGACGGACGTCTGCGCCCGACGAGGAGGAGGAGGAGGAGGAGGAGGAGGAGGAGGAGGAGGAGGAGGGGAGGAGGAGGAGGAGGAGGAGGAAGAGGAGGAGGAGGAGGAGGAGCCTCCGGGGGGGGGGGGCCGCTCCGCTCGAGCGTCGCAGCCGCGCCCCTCGATGCGCTCGGGGCCGCTGGCCGGCGGGCCTGCGGCGCCCGCCGTGCTGCCGGCGGCGGCGCTGCGCCCCCGCGCCGGCCTGCCGCTGGCCTGCGCGGCCGTCCCCGCGGTGGCCGCCGCGCTGCTCCGCTCGGCTGCACGCAAGAGCCTGGCCACGCGCAGAAGGGGGTAGGGGGAGGGGGGAGGGCTTCTTAGCAGCACCCCTGCTTCTAAGAAGCCTTCCCCCCTCCCCCTCCTTGTGCGCGCCGCCAAAGAGCGTCGCAGGCCTAGAGGTTGACACCAACACCAAGATCGGCGGCGTGCCGCCACCGAGGGAAGAAGATCCTGATCTCGGTGCTGGAGGTGATCTTCTGGCTTCCAATGTGGCCGAAAGATTGCCACCAGCCCCGAAATCTAGGATCATCCTCCCCCTGTGGAGGCAGCCCCCTGTGTTGGTGTTGGTGCCCATTTCCAGGCCTCCTAGAGCGGCCCTTCGCCGGAGGGACCTCTGGTGCGGGCCCCGAGTGGCCCTTCGCTGGGGTGACGTCTTCTGCGGGCCCACCGGGGTCTCCGCTGTGCCGAAGGAGGTGCGACAGCAGCGGCTTCTGCGCTTTAATGGTTCTTGGAAACGGCAGTGCAGTTTTTTTCCGTTTTCGTTTTGCCCGTTTTTCTTTGGTTCTGGCGCTGTTACGTTTTCCGGTTCCGGTTCCGTCGCCGTTTTTTTTCTGGTTCCAGCTCCGGTTTCAATCCTGGCACAGTTTCTTCCGTTTCGGCGAACCATTTTTTTGCCGCTTTCACTGTCAAGATCAAGACGTTTGGGAACGGTCTGAGAAAAAAAAAGCCCTGACGCTTGCAAGAACCTCTGAGTTCTGCGATTGAGTACAGCCGACGGTCAGAGAGCGCCTTCCTCTGCAGGGCAGGGACGTCAAGGTGGTCAAACGCCTCGCCGGTTAAGCCGACGAAGGTGTGCAAATAGGGGGCCACATGCGAACCCTACCCCTACCCCCCACGATTTCTGAGGGGGAGGGTGGGGTTCACTTCGCTCGGGATCTCCCGAGCGGAGTGAACCTCCCCCTCCCCCTCACAAATCGTGGGGGGTAGGGGTAGGGTTCGCATGTGGCCCCCTACTGGGGCCCCTCTTGCGCTGTGGAAGTCGATGAATGGAGAGGAAGCGTGCTGCCAAACCATGTCCAGATGTCTAGGCATGTTTCGGACATGTTGTAAACATGCTTAAAACACCTTCGAGACACTTTCAGAACATGTTCTGCACAGTTTATAAACACATCTTGAATTCAATGATACAGTCGGGGCGCTGAAGAAGGAACCCTTTTCGCTTGGGGGGGACTCAGTGTTCCTTAGTTGTTTTGCAGTGCTCCTTGGGTTTCCCTGAGGTTTTCCATGGAAAATCGGAGTTGAGCTTGTGGGAAAAAGGGGCCTCGTTCCTTATTTCGGGTTCCTCAGGTCAACGTCCCAACTGTAGGGTTGTTAGAGTGTCCACTGTCATGGCGTCCACAACTCCTGCGTGGAGCCGGCTCCGCGCGCCCCGTGCCCGCGGCGGGCGCCCCGGGCCCCGCCGGGCGCGCATGCGCGCCGCGGGGGAGGCAGGGCGCCAGGCCCCGGGCCGGCACAGTTGGAAGCAGGAGGGGGAAGGAGGAGGAGGAGGAGGAGGAGGAGGAGGAGGAGGAGGAGGAGGGGAGGAGGAGGAGGAGGAGGAGGAGGAGGAGGAGGAGGAGGAGGAGGAGGAGGAGGAGGAGGAGGAGGAGGAGGAGGAGGAGGAGGAGGAGGAGGAGGAGGAGGAGGAGGAGGAGGAGGAGGAGGGGGAAGGAGGAGGAGGAGGAGGAGGAGGAGGAGGAGGAGGAGGAGGAGGAGGAGGAGGAGGAGGAGGAGGAGGAGGAGGAGGAGGAGGAGGAGGGGGAACGACACACAGACGCAGTGGAGCGCCGCTTCCCCAGAAGGCGTCGGGAAAGATGGGAAGTGGGGGGAAGACGAACACCCCCCGAACATGTAGGAATATGGGGAATCCTGGGATTTGGCTCGGTGTAGCGTCGATACGCGTCGATTTGCGTCTGGAGTCGATGAGCTGGCGCCGGTTTAGCATCTATTTAGTGTCGATTTAGCGTCGGTGAGCGTCGATTCGCAAGAGCTGACAAGATGGTATGGGAAGCTCCCATGAGTTGCCACCGAAAAATAGGTACGGAGAGAATGGGGATGCAGACCGACAGCAGCTCCTGTCCGTTTTGAGCAGGACGCGCTGTCGGCGTCGCTGCGGATGCTGTGTCCGTTTGGGGCAGCGGGGCGCCTGCCCAACAGCGGCCGCGGCTTGTTTTTGGACAATACTCGTGTCGGGCAATTGTGCCCAGTTCTTTCTTCTGTACCCATTTAGGGCGTCCAGGTCGTAGGAGGGCAAGAGTCCACCAGGACTCGAGCTGAGCGATGCTCTGGCGATTTTTCGTCGGCCGTTTTCGCTCTGCTCTCGTTTTGCGGCAACGGCGGAACGAAGACAGAACGCATAGCGAGGGGAACTGGGAACAAAACGAACACATAATAGGGGGCCACATGCGAACCCTGCCCCTACCCCCCACGATTTCTGAGGGGGAGGGTGGGGTAGGGTTCGCATGTGGCCCCCTACAGAAAAGACTGTTCAGGTCGAGCCCTGCAGTCCAGGCATCCCAGATGGGGTCCGAGCTGACGGGGTCGGCGGATCGAGCCTCGATCGGTTATGCGGCTCCATGTGGAGCCCTGTCTTCTCCATCCCGCCGTCGTCGGTGCACTGCCGACGGCGCGGATGCATCGCCGATGCGTCGCCGATGCATCGGCGATATACATCGACGATGCGGCACGATCCAACAAAGAGGTTGCATTTGAGTCGCAAATTATTCCTCATCTGTAGTACCACCCGTGTGCTGCTGTTTCCTGCTTTGAAATGGGGTCCAGAGGCAGCTCTGGGGGAGAAACAAAAAAAATCAAACCCCACCTGCTCGGAGCCCGTTTCGGGAGGCCCTCCGGATCGTCTGCTGCCCTCCCCCCGTCAGCGCCCCGTCGGGCCTCCCGCGGGGCCCGCGTCGCCGCGGCCGGATCCGCCCGGGCATCCGAGCCAAGGAGTGCACCTCGACAGAGGTCCAGGGAGCAGCGGTGCCGGCACCTCTGGTTCCCCGAGAGGATCGGTTTTTGAACTCAAGAACTCGTTTTCGAATTCAAGAAACTGTGTTTCTGAGTTCCAAAACTGGTTTTTGAATTCAGAAACTCGTGCCAGCGAGTTTAACACCCTGTCGACCAGGTGTGCCTGGCCATTCGAGCCGCCAGCTCTTTGCGTTCGATCGCTTTCGTAGCTTGCTTGTCCGCCTTTCGTCCCCTCGGCTTTCCTTTTCCTTCTCCCAAAACTTCAAAGCTTGCACTGGACAAAAACCTTGAAGAGGCATTCCAGACCCCCGACGTCATGTTTTCTTCCTGGCGTCGACCCCAAGAGGCCTCTACCCATTCCCAGGGGCCGGTTTTTCATGCCGAGTGGTTGTTTAGCGGCTCCGAGGCCCGGTGAGGGACCCCATAGGCTGAAAATAGAGACACCTTCCGTCGTGTTTTTGTTTTGTTTTCACGACTCGAAGGGGTTTGAGGTCTTCGGTTTCCCGAAGGTCGTCGTGATAGCAGGCCCCACGGCGGTCGGGAAGTCGGCGGCGGCGCTGGAGCTCGCGGGCCTGCTGCGGGCGCCCGCGGAGCTCGTGAGCGCGGACTCGGTGCAGCTTTACCGGGGGCTGTCAGGAGGGAAACATAGACACGGCGTGAAAATGACCACAGCCACTGCTTTTCTTTTGTTGCCGCCTTCCAGCCCGCAGAAACAAAGCAGTGGTTGTGGTCATTTTCGTTGAGCTTGGCACCAGGGAAATGACCACAACCACTGCTTCTTTTCTGGCCGGCTGGAAGGCGGCGCAAACAAGAAGCAGTGGCTGTGGTCAATTTCCCGTCCCGCAGACACGGGACTTGAATAATCGTCGGTGCCAATGAACATATGGGAACAGGTGGGAAGTGGAGGGGAAACCAAAACTCCAGACAAAGGAATCAACCATCGGGACTTCTGGAATCTGTGTTTACTTCTGTGCGTCTCCCCGGGTCCCTGCAGGCTGGACATCGGCTCCAACAAGCCCAACGCCGCGGAGCGCGAGCGCTGCCGCACGCACCTGGTCGACTGGCTGGAGCCCAGCGCACCGTGCAGCGCCGCCGTTTGGACTCGGGAGGCGCTGCGGCTGATCGACGACAGCCCGGGTAGGAGGAGACGTGTCGTTGCGTGATATCCGACCCCGAACCAGACTTACGTCGGGCCTGTCCCTCCATAGGGGGGAATATTCAAAAATAGTAAAAAATCTGGGGACGATGTTTTGAATATTTTTGGGCATTTTTGCAGATTTTTTGACTATTTTCTATTTTCGTCCACAATCCCCCTGTCGGGGGACATGCCCGACCTAAGACCAGACCTCACGGTCCGTTTTTCGGGTCGCCGCGGCGATCGCGGCGGCTACGCCTGGAGGCCTCTTCTTGTCGAGGCGTGGCGTGCCCCTCCCCAGCCCCCGCCGCGCTTTCCGAGGCAGACGCGGCCCATAGTGAACATTCTAGCGACAGAGGGTTGTCCATTTGTGCCCAGCACGGGCAGTCCTGGGGTGCAGCCATCGTGCGACCAACGTGCGCATGGTCTCGCAATCTCGCAGCCAACGTGCGCATGATCTCGCAATCTCGCGACCAGTCGCAGGGGTCGATGATCTCGCAACTAACGTGCGCACACCGCCGGGCAGGCTGCCCCAGGGTCGGGCCCCCCGCGAGGCCTCCCGGGCGAGGACGGGTGGAGCGCCGCGACGAGGCGCAGAGAGCGGAGGGCGGAGCGCGGGGGGATACGGGTGCGCTCTGTGTGTTTGGGCGACGTCCTCCGGGAGGTCCTCGCGGGCGCGCCCCCGCGGCCGCGTACAGCCCCCCCCCCCCCCAGCGGTGACAAGCGCGCGTCTCCTCCTCCCGCGCGTGCACGCGCGCGGCGTCGTGCCCGTCGTCGTCGGGGGCTCGTGCATGTACCTGGACTGGCTGGTGCACGGAGAGCCCGATGCTGGCCAAGCGAGCCCGGAAGCGCAGGCGCAGGTGTCCTCGCTTCTCGTTTCGCTTTCCGTTTTGCCTTCTGCGTTGTCGGCGAAGTCTCGGGGGCGGCAAAGAGGGGGGTGATGACTAGGGGGGGGTGGATATCATGGCGGGGGCCATGATATCTCCCCAGATCTCGTGGCGCCTCTTCTTGTTTCACTACGTCCCTGGCCCCCCCGCTGGGCCGCGCACATGCCGCCGGTCATGATTTGCACCCCCCCCTCTTGGGCACCCCCCTCTTGGCCGCTCCCGAAAGTCCGTTGCTCGATTCTCGTTCTGTTTTTCTCCTCGGAGTGGCGGCCTCATTGCGCTTTTCGTTTCGTTGGGCACCGGTTCCGTCTTGAAGCGTTCGTTTTGTACTCAGGGTGTCGTCGTGTTTTTCTTTTGCAGCGCCATTTCCGTTTTGAACTTCGTTGTGTTCGGGCCTTGGGTGTCGATGATCCTCAGGACGTGTGTTGGCCCAACGTGTGCTTACCCCGTTCAGGTCCGCCGATAGCACGCGGCCCGTGTCGGCTCATGACACGGCCTGCGTCGTATCGAAGGGCTCTGGCGGACGAGTGCACGTTGGTGCTAGTGCACGGTCTGAGGATCATCGAAGGTGGCCAGGGAGCTGCGGCCGTTCGAGGAGTCGCTGGACTGGGAAGGCGCCGTCGGGCTGCTGGCGGCAGTCGACCCCGAAAAGGCGGAGCGGCTGTCGTACAACGACTGGCGCCGCCTGGCCAGGCTCGGTGATCCTCAGAACGTGTGTTAGTCCAGGACGTGTTCGCCCCGCTCAGCTCCACCGATGGCACGCAGCCCGTGTCGGTGCTCACTACAGCCAACCCGAATTGGAAGGATGGGCCGTTTTCCTAAGCGTACCCTTGCATCCTTGCCTCATCGGTCCATCCTTGGCCACTTCCGCGGGCCGCGCCCTGCTCGAAGAGCTTCGAAATCGCCTTCCGAGGCCCCTGCATCCCTGCCGCGCATCTTTGTGATGCGGATCGACTGTGCACCGCCTGCGCCGTGCTGACGGGCCTCGGTGGACGAGCACACGTGGGCGCCGACACGCGCTCCGAGGGCCCCTGCCAGGCACCTGGAGGCCGCCCGCGCGGGCCCCAGGCGGGAGGGCCGCGCGCCCAGGAGCGGGTACGACTTCCGGAGCTTCTTCCTGAGCCCGCGGGACCGCCAGGCGCTCTTCCGCCGCATCGACGAGCGGTGCCTGGCCATGCTCGACGCCGGCCTGCTGGAGGAG